CGTCCCTCCCGCACGAACTGACCTCGTCGATGTGGGTCGAGTCTGGAAGGGGGCACTCGCACAGAAGCCTGGCCATCTTGTCCTCGGCGATGTTCGAGCTCACCAGCGTCCTCTTGTTCGTAGAGATCCTCTGCCAATTGCCCTGGTAGGTCGTGGTGATGGCGGCGCGGCCCAGACGCAGGGCGCTGTTGACCGCTGGGTACTCGAAGAACGACTGGCAGTCGAACGGCATCACGACCATGAAGAACACATCCCTCACGACGCACATGGCGATGAAGTGCGCGACTGCGAGCGCCAGGTCGTTCGCCTCCATGACCTCCCCCAGGCAGCCGGAGCATGACGAGCGCGTCCATGCCGTTCGATGCGAAGCATGTCGCCCCCTTTTTTTGTTTTTTTTTCTTTTTTTTTTTTTCTTTTTTTTTTTTTTTCCTTTTTCTTGTTTTTTGTTTTTTGTTTTTGTCTTTTTTTTTCATTTTTGTTTTTTCTCTTTTGTTGTTCTCTTGTTTGTATTTTTTTTTTTCCTTTTCTTGTTTTTTTTTTTTTTTTTTTATTTTTTTTGTTTTTTTTTTTTTAATGTCTTTTTTTTTTTTTTTTGCTGTTTTTTTTTTTTTTGTTTCTTTTTGCCCACTCACGGGACGGAGGGGCAATCACGAGCGCCCCCTTCGGCTTGATGCTCAGCACTACCCGACGCGCAAAGGCCATGCCAGCGAGGGCGCAGACGTCCTCCGACTCGCCCCTTCCGTACTTGTCGAACTCTGGGCACTGGGGCCAGCCTGTCTCATCCAGCGCGCGAGCCTGCCGCTTCCGCTGAACATCTCCGCTGCGTCCATATGGCGAGGGCGCGACCAGAACTCCCGTGTCAGCGCCTCAGCCACCCTGATGATCTCTCCCTGCGATGCGCTGTCGGAGAGACCAGCCTGCGCCGCCATCGCCTCGAACGAGCATGGGACGCCAACCGCGGTGGACGCGGCACCAGGCCTCTTCATGGCAGCGGCGGGCCGCTTCATGGCCAATGGGTAAGGGCGGCCCAGACGCGGCGCCAGCACTCGGCGAACGCTCTGCCTGCCGATGCACGCATGCTTGAGCCAGAACGTCACCGCGGGCAACGCTGGCCCAGGCCACCTGGGAAGCTCGACGAATGGTAGGGCAAGCCATGTCCACGAGCCCGCCTGGACTGGAGTGCCCGAGCGCCCGCCTCGAAACACATCGACGTCGCTGTGCCCATGCAGCGCGATTATTTGCGCCACCGATCCGAAACTCATCAAAACTCATCGGAAACTCATCGAAAACTCATCGGGAGAGGGCGGTTGGTTTTGAACATGGGGCTCTCGCTTTGGTGCCGCGCGCATTCTTCTTAAACGCTTGCAACGGTTACATGGGTGGGGGGCGGCTCCTTTTCAAAATGGTGCTCTTGCTTGAGGCTGTGCGACCACGCAATGCAAAGTGCACGGGGGACTGGAGGAGCACCATGCGGACAGCGCGTCGGTCCGAGGACCAACCGCTGTGCTGTAACGCAGCGGGGCGGCCCACCACGCGTTAGACTCAGCGCCGCAAGCCGTCGCCTCCCTATGATGATCGGGACTCCGACGAGAAATCGCGCTCTCGCTTGTGACTTCCTCACGCGCGCCCGCGTTCGTCGGGGCCTGGCGGTGTCGGCGCGCAAGCGCACCTCGAATCTCCCCGAGCGGAGGGAGAGGGGGGGGATGATATCATCGTTTGTGAATCGTGGTCGTGTTTCCCGCCCTCCCTCCCCATGTCTTCACGAGAACCAATCGCACCGCCTCTGCCACATCGGCGCCGAGCATGCCCCGCGCGATGGCGAGGGGCTGGCTGCGCCCCGCCGCCGTAGAAAAAAAACGATGCTGGCCAACCGCCATATCCCCCTGCAACGACACGCGTTCAAAGAGCCGCTTCTCCCAATTTGACCGATGCACGCTCGAGGCAGCCACTGCCGCTGGCAGATTCAACGATTCATCCAGAAACGTGGCGCACCGAAGCGGGTTGCCGTGCCTCAAGGAACGGTGCACGAGGTGTACAAAACATGGTTTTTGAACAAGTGGGGGACGTCTGCTTCTGCCATGTAATGGTTGTGCTGCTTGCGCAGGTCCAGCAGCATGGACCCCGTCTCCCTATCGACGATGGTGGGTGATGCCTTCAGGAGTTGCATGAACGCCAGCAAGTTTCTGCACGCCTCAGTGAGCGCAAACCCGTTCTCCATGCGGGCAGAAAACGTCTCGCACAAATGGAAAGCCCATGGGCGGATCGCGTTTGTTTCGGGCCCCAGTGTTTTTAGCCCTGGGAAGTCCCTCGTGCCGATCATACTCACTGATAGCTCATGCACTCTGTAGTTTTGCGGCACATCCGTGTCGTCATACCAATCGTTCAGCATGCCCGAGAGCCTCTCCAGAGAGGCTGGGACAACGACGTCTTGATGAGGCCCTGGGATCCCGAAAACATTCACATCCAGAATTGCCCAGACCACTGCGGAAATACAACGGCCATGAACTCCCAGGTACAGAATGTGGAGCACGTCTAACGCGAACGTGAGGGATGGTGACGTATACAGGGCGGGCGAACACAATGGGTTGCGATTCAGCAGCGGGCCCATGCAAGCCTGACCGCGATAGGTCGCGCGCCAAAACCTCACGACCAGGGGCGACGAGGCAGCGGGGAAATCGCCGATATCGCACAATTGCTCGGACGGTGTCAATCGATCACCAGCTTTGAGACCTAGTGACGGCACATCGTTTTGGAGCGCCCCCCCACGGACTCCAGATTTTCGCCGATCCCAGTACAGCCTACCCTCAGTAAAAACCTTGTCGGAAACCGACGCGCCTGCGCGACCGCGGCGGGCAGCCCCCGAGAACGCTGCCACCCGCCACCCCGTCGCAACCCTCTCCGCCACACGCGCTCCGTGGCGCGACCGCGCGCTCTCGGGGGCCACCTTGCGTGGCCGCGCTTGCGCGTCGGTGTCGCCTTAAGTCGATCGGCTTCGGTGTGAAGCACAACGACGTGTTCAAGCCGCTGACAGGAAGCTTCGTAATCATCCAAATCAGACTTCTGGCCCCAGTGGTCACTGTCCAACTCAACAGGGTCATAGCCATGTAAATTCTCGAGCAGCGAATTGCATATACAACACGGGAAAAAACATGCTGCCCAAACCCCGCAAACCGAACGTGACAGCCTGCTCCATTAAGTCGCCTTTCATCCAAACCACAACGCCTTTCCTGAGATGCGTGCCCGCCAAATCACCCCTGTGACCACCCGTGACAAACGGTGAGCCGTCGTGCATGGCCGAGGGGTATCGGCCTTCAAGCAACGCCCGCATCGACCATGCTATCACGAGCATGACAGGGTAATGGCTACACCACCCTCGGCACCCGCACCTGCAGAATTCAGATTTCCTTAAGAATGCGACCGAATGTCTCCGCGACTGCGGTACTAAATGCATAAAGAAACCCAGCAACGAGTCGGCTTTTCCAGTTCGCTCGCTCCTAGTGAATCGAATACCATAGGCGTACAGCGATAACAAAAGCGGAACATCTGGCCTGCACGCGCGAACGCCAGGGTGCCACCTGTATATTTGCTGCCTTTCCTGAAAATCCGCATCATTTGTCAGGGGCCCAGGGTCTAGGGACCGAGTAGTTTCACACTCGTGTTGCAACGACTCATGCAATGGCAGCATGGGGATCCTCTTGGTTGTCCTACCAACACCTTTCTGATATATTGGAATGTCCAACCAGTAGTAATCGCTATCTTGCTTTCGGGGAATCGTTGAGTCCATTTTTCTCTGATACGTGCCGCCTGTGTTTTTCGGGTGCAGAGCGAGGTCACACACGCCGCCCTCGCACCCCGCTTCCTTAGCGAACCAGCTTATGATGCAAGCGTCCTTTGCTGTCATTGGCCTCGACCCTGCATACATGGCAAGAATATAATTAAGCAAGTCATTGCCTGCTTGCTTGCGCTCAGCTGCTCTCAATTGCTCGGCCTGCCAGTCTTCGCCCCACGATTCCCCAGCCATGGTGCTACGACACCTGGCGCGTGTATCCTGGGAACGGGGAGCCCGCCCTCGAGCCGAACCCTACGGGCCCCTGCACCCCGCCCCCTGGCGCTGCAACTACTAGCCGTCGGGCCCGTGCCAGCGCCCCCAAGACGCCCTGGAAACCGAAACGGGCGCTCCACGGACAGCTGCGCCTCGCCGAGGTGCCGCAGCGACCCCTCGGGCCCGTGCCAGATCCACCAGAAGCGCCCCCGAAACCGAAACTGACCACCCGAGGCGCCTCCGAACCGAAACGGGGGGTGCCCGACCGCGATCGAAGTGGCGCAACACAAAATTCTGAATGTTCAAAACTCATCAAAACTCATCGGGAACTCATCGGAAACTCATCGGAAACTCATCGCTACAATCCCTGTGAATTTATAGTGTTTGAGCGAAACTCATCAATCGGAAACTCACCGGAAACTCACCGGTATTTCATCGGTGGTTTCGTCGCCTCCGATCGCGGTCGGGCCAGATTTTTTCGGTCCGATCGGGTTCGAGTTCGAAATTTTCGCATCCGATCCGAGATTTTCGCATCCGATCGAACTTATCCCTACACAGCGCTTGCTGTCTCACCGCAGCGGGCTGTTAAGTGTACCCCGAATCGCGGGCCCGCCGCCAGCTTCTGGTTTGCCGCCCCCTTCACCTCCACCTCCTCCCTTCCCTCCCCCCCGTACTTCCCCTCCCCCCCCCTTCCCCCAATGGGGACTCCCCCTCCCCCCCCCCCCTCCCTTCCTCCCCCTCCCTTCCCCTTCCTCCCCTCTCCTCCTTTTCTCCTCCTCCTCCCCCCCCTCCTCCTTCCCCCTCCTCCTTCCTCCTCCTCCTCTCCTCCTCCTCTCCTCCCAACTCTCCCCTCCTTAACTACGCGGCACTGGTCGGCGGGCGAATCGACCGCTCTGCAGCCGAACCCTCGTCAAGTCAGCCGAGGCCGACTTTGCAAAAGAGAAGGGGCTGCCTCCGACTACTGGCCGCCCTGGGCCTTCTTCACAACCAGAGCGTGCATCTGGTTCAAGGCGTCCACCTCCGCGTTGAGCCTATCCACCTTGGGCCTCAGGATCGACGAGATCTGGTCGATCTGCTTGTCGAAATCGGCCTCCCCGACGTGGGCCCGGCGGCCCTCACCGCGTCGAACTTCTGCGTCACCAGCTGCGCCACGAGCGCGTTGGTGGTGCTCGTGTTCTCCAGCGCCTCGACTGCCCTGCGGAGATCCCCGCTCATCCTCTCGTCCGCCAAGGGCTCCCACGAGGCCACCGGGCCGATGTTGCGCAAGATCATCTTGCCAGACGTGAGCTCCTGCCCGTACAGGCTAATCAGCGTGCGAAAGTCGTCGAGTTTCTTCTTCGCGTCCTTCTTGGCCTGCTTCGGGTGGGGAGCGTCGTCACCAGCTGGCTCAGGTGGCGGCGTCGCCGTGCCGCCGCGGTCGCCCCTCGTCCGCTTGGTGCCCCTTGCAGCGGCCTTGGCCGCTGCCTTCGCCTTCGCCTCCGCCTCCTTTGCTTGCTTCTCCTCCGCCTCCTTTGCTTTCTTCGCCTCCGCCTCCTTCTGCTTGGCAACGGCGGCGGCTTTCTTCTCGTCCGCCGCCTGCTGCTTGGCCTCGCTCTGCTGCTGCGCGGCTGCGCCCGTCTGAGCCTGGCTCGGCTGGCCACCGGCCAGCGTGTCGTGCCCCCCCCCCCCCCCCCTTCCTTCAGGAAGTCGAGCGCCAGGTCGTCCTGCACGCCCGTCTGCTCCTGGCACTGCGCCCACGCCGTCTCGAACTTGTTCTTGAAGCCCGACTTGCAGTAGAGGTACTCGGCGCGCTTGGTGAAGCTGTTCCACTGCGCCCAGGGGCACCCCAGCTTCTGGCACGCCAAGACGGTGTTCAGTGCCGCCATCGCCCCCGTCTCTGTGATGCCGACCCCCGACTCCTTGCCTGCGATGACCTCGAACGGCTCGTGGGTCCCCCACTCCAGGTGGGCCTCCGTGTTGGTCTTCCTCTTAGACCTGTCGTCGTCGTCGCCGTCGTCGTCCTGGGTGGTCGTCGTAGTCGTCGTCGTCGTCGTCGTCGCCGCCGCCGCCGCCGCCGCCGCCGCCGTCGTCGTCGTCGTCGTCGTCGTCGTCATCGTTGTCGTCGTCGTCGTCGCTCCCAACTTGCGCTCTTGGTAGGCGTTCCACTGCTTGTCGACCCACTCGAGGATGCAGTTCTCCTTGCCGATGTGGCCCTGCGCATTCTTGTACTTCTCCTGCTCCTCTGCGCTGCCCTTCTTGAAGCGGTCGTACTTGCTGGCAATCGCCGTCCTCGACTTCGCGGTCCTCGTCCTCCACGCCTCCTCGATCACCTTCTCGGGCTGCTCGTCGCCGGGGCTTTCCTGCGCCCTGGTCGCGAGCGGCGTCTCGCAGCCCTTCGCCAACTCGTTGAGCCTCTTCGCCAGGAAGCCGAGCTGCAGCCCGCCTGAGCCCTCGAACGGGTTCTCAGGCAGCGAGAAGCCTAGCGACGCCCCGCTCGGCCCCGCGGCGGTGTCGCCCAGCTGGCTGATGCCGAGGCCCTTGAGGTTCGCCTGCTTCAGCCCGATCGCCGCCCCGTCGATCTGCGTGATGTCCAGCGCGGCGGCGTCGGCCTGGGCCAGGCCGATGGCCCCGAGGTTCGCCTGCTGCAGGCCGATGCTCGCCATGCCGTCCAGCGCAGGTCCTGCCGACGATGCCGCTGCCGCCGACGATGATTCAGGCGGTGCATCAGCGCCCTCATCCGCGCGCGGGGTGTCCTGCCGACGGCGAAAACCACCGTCGCCACGACTCCTCCCACGCACCCATGTCCGAACCCCCCACCCGAGTATCGGGCGGGGGGAAGGGGCGGTCTCAGCCCTCCACATCTCCTCCTCCTCACCCCTCATTCCCTCCCCCTTCATCAACCTCCTCACCCTCACCTCCTTCCTCGCCACCTCCCCCCCTCCCACGGCAGCTTTCGACTGCGCCGTCCTTGCTGCGGGCCCAGCGCTCTGACCAGCTGTCCTGGCGGTCGGGCAAGTCCTCGACGTGCAGGCTGTCCTGCATCGGCGAGGGGGATGCTCCCTCCCCTCCATCAATACTACCAACACGGCAGAAACAATCGAGAGTCGAGGATCGAGGATCGAGACCCGAGGTGTTTTTTACCGGAGGAGCGCGTCGATTTCAATTTCGAGGCGGACCCAGCCGCAGGCACGAGGAGGCCCCTCGAGGCCCGAAACGGCCGTCAAACTCGAGAGTCGATGATGGAGGATCGAGGCTCGAGTTGTTTCCCAGGAGGGCGCTTCGATTTGAATTGCGAGGCGGATCCAGCCGCAGGCGCGAGGGGGTCCAGGAGGCCCCGAAAGGCAACAACAGAAAAACAGAGTCGAGGATCGAGGATGTCTCGGTGGCCCCCCCACCGCCGCGCCTCGCTGGAGGCAAGTCTGAGGGCGCCCGCATCGTCCCGAGCGACCGCTGGAGGCCACTCGGACCGTCTTCGGCCGTTCCGAGGGGGCGCTCTCGCCTCGGTGCGAAGCCTGCCGTCCGTATCTATTTCGGCTACTAGATCCCTGGGCTCCACGCGCGCCTGACATGGAGCCCTGGACCCCGCACGCGCTCAAATGCCGCAGAGTGCTCAAGAGCAAGACGGACGACGGGCCCAACGAAGGCGACGGCGACGGCCCCAACGAAGGCTACTGCCCACGTTCGGCATCACGGTCGGCATCAAGCTCGGCACTCGCATGCTTGATTTGCGGAGTCTACCAGGTTTTCTCTGGGAGGACAAGTGAAAGCTGCCCGCTCAAGCTCGGACAGCCCTGCCAGTTCGTGACAGACGGCCAGAAGGGCGACGACGACACGCAGCAGGGCAAGCAGAAGGGCAAGGGCAACAGCGACGAGCAGAAGGGCAAGGGCAAGCGCGGCTTCTTGTCACAGGAAGAGCTTGAGAGGCTGAGCCGTCTCCCATCGTGGATGCACGACAAGAGCTACACCCACGACATCACAGAAGCCGACGTGTGGGCTGTAGAGCGCACGTACAAGGGCAAGATCAAGAGCAAGGGCGAGAGCGGCGACAGCTCGACGGGCAAGGGCAAGAGCGGCGACAGCTTGGCGGGCAAGGGCAAGAGCAAGAGCGGCGGCAGCTTCGACCCCGACACGAGCAGCCCGCGCTCGCAGGCTTCGGCGCTCCAGGAGCAGGACGAGAGCCCCGCGAGGCCTTTGAGGCGCTGGGCCAGTGGCGTGCTGACGTCACCCCCTTGCACCACGATCCCACCGACGCCAGAGGACCCGCGCGTGGCGCCCCACACCCCAGAGGACCCGCTCGAGGCGACAGACTCCAACAACTCGCACGAGGTGCCAGGCCCGCAGGAGAACCCGCCCGCCGAGGGCAACCCGCACGAGGACTGAGGCCCGCAGGTGAACCCGCCCGCCGAGTGCAGCCCGAGGTGCCAGGCCTCCAGGAGAACCCGCCGTGGGCAACGCCCTAGGCATCCTTCCTCCTCTTCCTGCTATGCATGAGGGTCAGATGCGACACCCGATTCGGTGAGAGGACAATTAAGTAGCGCAATGGGAAGGGATGGGAGGGAGGGGTAGGATGTCAGATGTTGACGCGATAACAAGAATAACAATAAACAACGACGTGACGACGCCGACAATGAAGTTTCCCATATCAGGCGATGGGGTGGGGGGCTCGCCGACACACACATATATATATACATATCGATAAACGCATCGGAGCCGAGGGGAAAACTCATCGAAACTCATCGGGAACTCATCGGAAACTCATCGCGATTATCTCCGCTTCCACGCCGTGCCATGCGCAACGTTATCCTCGCGACCTCGGAAACTCGTCGCGGTTTTCTCCACTGCCACGTCGCGTCATGCGCTGAGTTATCCCCGCGACCCCCGCAATCGCTGAGTCGAGGGAGTCGGATCGCCGCGGAGGGCGGGGGTCCGAGAGGCCAGGGCGGAGTGGGCTACATGTTTTCCGATCGTGGCTCTCTGAAGTCGGAGCCCGTCAGTCTACTCGGCACCGTCCGACGAGTCATCCTCCGCCAGCTGCTTGCGCGCATCCCCCATGAGCGTGCCCGTCGGCCCCTTGATGGCCGTCTGCGGGGAGGTGCCCTGCGCGGACTTGGAAGCCTTGGCGCCCGCGATGCCCTTCTCGATGCCGATGCGCTGGATGGGGACCTTCGAAGTCGAGATCTTGCCTGGTGCGGCGCGCTTCTTGCCCTTGCCCTTCTGCTCGGGAGTGGACGGCGCGCCTCCTGCAGCAGCGTCTGCCTCCCCCTCTCCTGTCGCGTAGACCTCCCCGTCCGAAGCCGCCTCGGCGTTCTCGCCCATGCCGTTGCCCGACGCCGCCTCGGCGTCGGAGGCCGCCGCCTCCTCGGTGGCGGGCTTAGCGGCGGCGGGCCTCTTGCGAGCTGCAGCGCCCCGCTTGGGCGCCGCCGCCGCATCGGCTTCCTGCTTGGCCAACTTCTCGGCCTCCTTCTGGCAGATCGCTTCGACAGTCTTCTCGATCTCCTTGAGGAGGTCCATCTTCGCCGCCATCGCCTGCTGCTTCGTAGTTTTCGGGTCGCGGGCGAACATCTCTAAGATCCGCTCGGTCATCACCTTGACGCCATGCTCCTCGTTGTCGAAGTGCCTGGTGGTTGCCTGCGTCTGCTGCTCCTTGGTGCCGTCCTTGAGCTTGCGCATGATGAGGATGATCTTGTGGTTCGGATCCCGATCTCTCTTCAGCTCGACGTTGACCTTTGAGCCGTCAGGTAAGTATTTAGAAGGAAGCTCACTCTTGGCGCTCTTCGGCGTCTCCTTCTGCTGCTGCAGCGCCTCTGGGTAGCGCCACTCCTTCCCATCGGCCCACGTGGCAGCCATGAATCCGCCCTGGTCGGATGACCGCGAGCTGTCGCAAAGCTCCACCCGCCGCGTGCTCGGGTGGATGCGCACTGCCGAGTTCTTGTTCTCGTCGAACTTGTAGACGTACTGCACCTCGGAACCTGCGCTGTCACCTGCAGGCTTGGCCGCGGCGGGCCTCTTCTTCGCGGCCCCCGTGCCCTCGGGCTCGTCCTCGCCCCCTGCCGCTGAACCTCCTCGCATTGACGGCCTTCGCCTGACGGGCGCGCTGTCCTCCTCGTCCGCGTCGTCCTCCTCCTCGTCCTGATCCTCGTTCAGGTTGATGCCGTCGGTGTAGCCCTGCTCCGCGATGACGGCCTTGTACCACTGAGGGGGGCCGAGCTTGCGGCGGTAGAAGGACCCCACGTGCATGCACAGCGTGCGCACCCTAGCCGTCATGTCCCTCACGTAGCGCTTCTTGGAATCGCCCTCGAACAAACTCCAGGGCGGCTTTCCTGTCTTCGCCTTCTCGGTGACCAAGAACTCGATCGCGTTCTCGCACGCGACCTTGCCGACGCTCAAGTTCGGCGCTGCCTGCTGCCTGATCGACTGCGCGACGAGCACCGCAGCGTCGGCACTTAAGGGCGCCTGGTCGCTGGACACAGGGAAGGAGGAGTGGTCGCTCTTGTACACCACGAAATCTGGTTTCGTCATGACAGGGCGCAGCACCTTGGTCAGCAACTCCACGTCCGTGCACACGGCGCGGGTCGACTCGGACCCGTCGCTGGCGCCATCATCAGCCATGGGTAGGGCCGAGCGTCGGATAGGGCCGAGCGTCGGGTATGGCATCGGGCAGCTGGTGCCCACTGAACTTGTGGAGCCAAAACGTTTACGGACACATAGATCGGGGCGCTGCGGATTCAAAACTCACCGAAACTCCCTCCAGGAATGCATCCAGGGCCCCGCCCAGGGCCCCATCGGAGCTCATCGGGAGCTCATCGGGAACTCATCGGATCGATCTTCGGAAACTCATCGAAACTCATCGGAACTCATCGGAAACTCATCGAAACTCATCGGAAACTCATCGGAAACTCATCGGGGACTCTTCGGAAACTCTTCGGGAACTCGTCGAAACTCATCGTAAACTAATCGGAAACTCGTCGAAACCCATCGGGAACTCATCGTGAACTCTTCGGAAACTCATCGAAACCTCATCGGAAACCCGTCGGAGACTCATCGGATCCCAATCGGAAGATAGTCGACGACGGGGGGGGTCGGCGAGCCCCCCACCCCTGAGCCCCCCCTCCGCGCGGGGCGGCGGCGGTCCACGAAACCAGCCAACGCCTGCTCGAGCGTCTCGTCGACGTGGTAGATCTGGCGCTTCGCGGACACCAGCGCCGCGTCGTCGTCGGCAGCCTGGCGACGACGACGACGACGACGACGACGACGACGACGACGACGACGACGACGACGACGACGACGACGACGACGACGACGACGACGACGGCGACGACGGCGACGACGGCGGCGGCGGCGGCGGCGGCGACGACGACGACGATCTCGTCTTCGTCCTCGGTGCCGGAACGACGGGGGAGGACGCCGACGACGACGACGACGAGTAGAGATGGCCTCCGTGGCCGTGTCGAGCTCCGAGCCGTCGCGGAGCGTCGCCTCCGCCTCCTGCGCCGTCTGGCGGCGGCGAGGCCGCGGGCGGCGGCGAGGCCGCGGGCGGCGGCGTGGCCGCCTGCGGCGTGGGCGCGGCCGAGCTGGCCACGCTCTCCACCGCCGACGCCGCCGCCGTCGTCGGGGGCGTCGGCGGCTCCTCGGCCGCCGAGCCCTTGCCCTTCCCCGCGCGCGGGGTCGCGGGCGGCGTGGCAGCCTCGGAGCGAGGCGGGGCCATCGCGCGCGCCCCGCGGGCGAAGCGCGCCAACTGCGCGCGCGGAGGAAGGTTGACCTTCTTAGTGGCCTCGAAGTAGTCCAGCATGCTCGATCGAGCCAGAACGCCGATCGCGATCGATCGAGCCAGAACGCCGACGACGACGACGACGCCTCGCGAGGCGTCGTCGTCGTCGTCGTCGGACGATGGTTTCCGACACCGCGTGGAGCGTTCGTCCCCGAACATCGAGATTTCGCGCCGCGGCCCCGTGCCCGCGAGCACTGGGGCCCGAGATGGGCCCCCGTAGCGCGTTCAACCTTGATCGCGCGAGGCGCCTCCGCGCCTTCCGCCCCCCTCCTCC